TGGGGGAAGAGTACTGAATATTCCATGAACTGCCAAAAGAACAAACAAGCCTGTCTTGAAGAAAGTGCCCCCAAGGTACTCCTCAGAGGCAACGATGACACAACTTTGTCTCACATACTTTGAGTATGTTGTCACGGGGGACTAGTCCCTGAAAGGAGACATCATGCTGGGAAAGGTAGAGGGTCAGAGAAAGACTACCAAGACAGAATGACGGAATGATGCAGTGACTAACAATGGGCTGACGCAAGGCAGAGGTGAGGAGGAAGGCGCAGGACAGGGCGAGGTGCGGATCTGCTGTTCACAGGGTCACTAGGAGTCATGGTCAACTCGATGGCCTAGAATACCTTCTTCACCAGCCATGACGTCCTCCAGGAACTGATCCCTACTGATAACCTGTCCCAACTACTTTTAAGGAGAATGCTGGCTGTACTCCTTCAAAAAGAAATGTTTGTTCTTCTGGAAATCCTAACACCATTACTCAAAGACTTCATTTCTCCTCTGCCCTTACTATTGTTCAGATTTTGCAAGCATATAAAATAAATGAAAATGCCAAAGTGACATCCTTCCTTTGAACACTGTCTTTTGCAGCCAAGGTAATATGCTGTCTGATTTCTTGACTGCTGCTTCCACGGATGTTAATCAGGATTCAGGTAAAATTAAATCCTTAACAACTTCACTCTTTCCCCCCCATATTGTTGCTTGCTTTGTGAAATCTCTGTTTTCTTTATGCCGAGTCATAATCCACATTGAATTGAGTCCACATTTTCACTTTTGGCAAGTACGGTGAGGTTATCTGTATAGTGCAAGCAGTTAATGTATCTTCCTCCAATTCTTTTTTTTTAAATTTTTTAAATTTTTTGCACGTATACCATCAAATCCGATCTGACTGGCACAGGAGGAGATTGTCTCTCCTCCTGCAGCACAGCATCTGATGGATTCGAACCGTTCCTCCAATTCTTACTCCACGTTCTTCTCTACACTGTTCACATGTAGACACATCATAACCAAAATGTCAAAAGGAAAGGAGAGAATCTTCAAAGTAAAAGTAAGTTATTCATACAAGCGGTCTACAACAAAATTGAGATGATTTCTTATCAGAAACCATGAACGTTAGAAAGCGGTAGAATGGCATGGCCAAAGGCCAGGGAAGGGGTAGGGGAGAAAAGACTGTCAACCAGGAATTATAGATCCAGCAACCCTATGCTTCAAAAAAAACATTAAGGAGAAAAGAAGACATTCCGGGATAAATAGGGAGCTCCTGTGGTTTAGTGGTAAGGAACTGCACTGCCAAAGGTACACAGTTCAAATACACCAGATACATGGGAGAAAAATGGGCAATGTCCCCCCATGGAGTTATTGGTGGAGGCTCAGCTATGAGTCAGTCCCAACTCAACAACAGCTAAGTAGCACGAGGTAGACAAGTTAAAGCTGGGTAAACAACGTACTTCAACCAGTGTTTCCGTGAAGGCAACATAAAATGGGCAAAAGCAAGCTCTCGGGATGCACGACTGATGAGGCATTCTACATCAATCTAAGGAGGAGTGGAGGTGTTTACTCCTGAAGAAACTGAGTTATTTGTTATCGTTGAACAAATGGAAAAAAATAATTTCATTCAAGCGGTGTTTTCTAGTGCTAAGTAAATTGTTATTGGCGTCATTTAAAGCACTTGTTTCTGAGGAAACGACACCCAGTGAGGGAGTGAGGGAGGGGAAAAGAGTATTTTGAGGGTTTGCTGCCAAAGCCACCTAAGCACACACATTGATCTCTGCCCCTTGTCACTCAGATGGAAAGGGGGTAACTTTCACCTCGACACTGCACAGAAAACTGTACACAAACAACACACACAGTGCCACGGGAGGAGACAGCAACCAAATGAGAGTATTATTTTTTAAAATGTTGAATAGTTCACATGAACGGTATCTGTCTCTACAGCAGATTCTCTTGATGACATGCTTCTTCCGGAAATGGTCTACAATTTCTTATTAGTACAGCAACTCTGTGCATTCCTTCCAACTTCTTTAAGTGCTGCCTTCATCATTCAAGATTTTGCCCATAAAATCCAAGGACTGACACCTGAGGCTTGAATTTGTTCTTCAGGGTTTTTTTTTCAGCTTGGGAAATTCTGCTGGTTTCATTCTCTTGTGGTCTTCTCACTCCAGCTCTTTGCACATTTCATTCTAACAGTTTGCTTTGCTTTCTGAGCTGTCTTGGGGGAAGAGCAACACAGAGCTCCTTCGAGGCGAGGACGGTGAAAACATCAAGGGTACTCTGGGCAGGTGGTCAGGAGAGAGAAGTCCTTGGAAAAAGACATCAGTCTGGGGAAAGTAGCGGGTCGGTGAAAGACAGACAGACCTTCAATGAAATGAATGGACCGACATAGTGAATGGGCTGTAGGCATCGTGGAGTTCACGTGGATGATGTGTGACAGGGTCGTGTTCTGATCTGTTGCTCACAGGGCCGCTACAAGTCACAGTCACCTTGATGACATCTAACCAACTAATGCAGAATGAAGAAAGCAGAAATTGAAGTGCGTGAACAAGGGTCGCCAAGGTAAGGCTGGTGTGCCCCACAGAACCCAGGAGATGGGCACCTATGAGGTAGTAGTGTGGAAGGGGGAGTGGAGGAGGACTGGGAAGAAAGTTATTATACCAGGGTCTTAACCCGCTCCAACGCCAGCAGTCAAGAAACTACCCCCTCCCTCTCGCACAGGCAAGAAGGTGGGCATGTTCTTGGGAGACTGTACCCAGCAATCTGGATTCAGGGCCACAGGCATAGTGAGACCTGGGGCCTCTACTGAAACTAGAGATTAAGTGACCTTCTACCCAGTGAGTGGTTGGACCTGTTCCCTTCCTCAGCTTCCATCACAATGGTAACCATCTTACGTTCTAGGTGAGAGACTAAGGAGTCATTTTGGAAAAACAGATTCTAGAAAAGAACCACAGACAAGAACACTTGTGGCTAGTCAAAGGAGAGACTGGGCTGCTCGAGCCAGCCCCACTTGGTAAAATTCCCTGATTGAGTCCACCTGGAGCACAGCCCCACTTGTACACCTTTCTTGTGGCTCCTTAATACAACACAAGTTAGGGAGCTCTGGTGGCCTAGCGGCAAGACACTGCACTGCAATCCCAAAGGTACGCGGTTCAAATC